TATATTTTTTAGATTATTATTATTTTAGATAAAATCTTGGTCTTTTTACATAAGATTTTCAAACTTCCTATTGACATCTTAACAGCCCTACCATGCAAATTATAGTTTATATTATAGTAGGTTGCACTGAAAATGAGACGTAGAAATGGTATTATAGTCTTCTTGTCTTACTGTTAATTTGATACATGTTTCAGATTTTATTCTACCAATGGTGTTTGAACAAAAGGGTATTATATGCAAATAATATGCCAACTAAAAATTTGGTCTTCCACGCACCTACTACTGATGGTGGTTGCACCTCCTTGAGGTCCACAGGCATTGGCAATTTGGCATCATCATATTCATATCACATTAGGAAAAGTCCTGTTTCTTTTGCTTTCTGAGTTTAAATTCATATTCATGAAGTTAAGAATGGAAGCCTTTTGTATTGTTGGCTGTAATTGTCAACACCTTCCTAAAATTTTTATTCAATACTTGTAATTGCACCAAACCAGAAGTCCTTCTTCAGTCCGCGTCTGCACTCCGAGATGACCGGCAAAGCCCCGAGGTGGAACTCGGGGTAGACACTCCGATGCTTAAGTCAGCAATAATCGGGGCTACCTTTAGAGCGGAGATAAAAAGAGCTTAAGGTTGGTTTCAATTACCTTTTGACGTGGCCCGGGGGGGTATTTATAGGATCCAATGAGGAACCCACGTGGCATGCCAAGTAAGATAATCGGAGCCTGACGTGTCTATCCAGACGATTATTCCTGGACCGGGAATTTGAGAGGTATTCAGATGCACGGGGGTCCACCATACCTGCTGTGCAGTTCATCATAAGGAATCAGGTGCGGGCATGCTTATTGTCATTGTCATGCAGCTATTTGAGCGGGAAGCTTTTGGATTTATCCTTCACTTCGGTCATAAAGGAATTACTGTAGCAGTCTAAGGCTTGGCACCTCGAACCTGTCCTTACAATACTGTATTTATGTCTCCAGGGCATATTAGACTAAGTACTTCTGTGTTATATAATGAGTATTGTTAACAAGAAAACTTCAACCAAAACTCAAAAATGCCAAGCATGGAATTGCAACCATCTCTGGACCGAGAAGCCGGGATGTCACGTTCCAGGGGCAAACGTGGTGGCTGGATCACCTT